GAAGTGCAGGAGGCGGCAAGTGTGGTCACCTTATGGCTGCTGCTGTGTTGCAATATTTTCAGGGAGGGCTTATTTTCAGGGGAGGGTTTATTTTAGTGCATGCGCTCAAAAGCCCAATTGGGCTTATTATCCGGGGAGGTCTTATTTTCAGGGAAATACGATACTTTTGACCCTCATAACAGTATATGGAATTTCTGGTTCTATGATTGGCATATATGACTTATTCAGGAGAACTTAGCTTTCTCGATCTTTGGTACTAGTAATTCAAAATACATGTTAGACTATAATGCAGCTCATTGGATTTTTGCTTAGGATAATGTATAGACCCAGTCAAGTATGATTTAGTCAGCCAAATAAACTAAGGTTAAACAGTGATATGGAGGGACATGGTGGCTCAGTAGCTAAGATGCTAGTTTGTCGATCAGAAAGTCGGATGTTCAGTGGTTCGAATCTCTAGTGTCATGTAATGGAGTGAGCTCCCCTTACTTGTCCCAGTGTCTGCCAACCTAGCAGTTTGAAAGGACATAAAAAATGCAAGAAGAAAAATAGGAACCACCTTTGGTGGGAGGGTAACAGCATTCTGTGTGCCTTTGGTGTTTAGTCAAGCCAGACAAATGACCACGGAGACGTCTTCGGACAGCGCTGGGTCTTTGGCTTTGAAACTGAGATGAGCACCACCACCACCCCTCCATCCCCGAGTCAGGAACTACTAGCATATATGTTCAAAGAGAACCTTTACCTAAACAGTGATATGTGACTCAGTGTTTTATCCATCAGAGTAAAAAAAAAATGTTTTGGAACTATTGAACATCAGCTAAAGTGAATAAGAGTGGCAGCAGTCTTGATTAGAAAACAGGTTATCCTTTTTAAGAGGTATGGACTTCAACTCTCAGAATTCCCCAGTCAACCATGCTGCCTGGAGAATTCTGGGAGCTGAAGTCCGTGTCTCTTAAATTGGCCAAGCTTGAGAAAAACTGGGATAAACAATTAAGCGTGATATGCAAACTTGTCAAATTGCTTGTACTGAGCTCTGATTACTTCGACAAGGGATTATGCCATTCATGGTTATTTCTATGTCACTTGGTTTGATTCTAGGTTATTGAACATGAGCATCCAGTCAACAAAATCTCTTTCATTGCTCGAGATGTGACTGATAACCGAGCCTTTGGCTATGTCTGCGGAGGAGAAGGGCAACACCAGTTCTTTGCCATCAAAACATCACAACAAGTAAGAGAATAATAATCCAAGAGTAATGATTGGAATAAGGGACGTGGTGGCTCAGTGGCTAAGACACTGAAGTTGTCGATCAGAAAGGTCAGCAGTTTGGCATTTCGAATCCCTAGTGCTATGTAACAGAGTGAGCTCCCGTTACTTGTCCCAGCTTCTGCCAACCTAGTAGTTCGAAAGCATGTAAAAATGCAAGTAGAAAAATAGGAACTACCTTTGGTGGGAAGGTAACAGCGTTCCATGCGCCTTTGGCATTTAATCATGCCGGCCACATGACCACAGAGACGTCTTCGGACAGCGCTGACTCTTCCACTTTGAAACAGAGATGAGCACCACCTCCTAGAGTCGGGAACAACTAGCACATATGTGCGAGGGGAATCTTTAGCTTTAGCTGATTGATTGGAATAGAGGCTACTGTCCCTTGCTGTCAATTGCCAATACAAGAAAGGGAAATGTGACACTTCCCCCAGTCCAAAAAGATTGCCCATCTCTGGTCTACGATAAGTTCTGTGACTCAGCTGCAGGTTCTCCCTGAATGTACTCTATTCATAAACATGTTCTTTGGACAGTCATGTCTAATGAAATTCCTATGGGATTGATCTATTAATAATAATTTATGATCCTACTTATTGGATTCAGAGGGCACATGAGATGCATAATGAAGCAACATTTGGAAACAAAAGCTGTGCTTCATTCTGACTCAGAATTATGGCCCAGGTTTGTTATTCCTTACATCTCCAAGAAAGATGACTCTAGAGAATTGTAGAGTTGATTAATAGCTGGGAGACTACACAATTCCTCTTAGTTCTCCAGGTCTGGGGTAATCTTTTCTTCTTGGATGGTGCTTAGCGCAATCATTTATATTTCTTGAAACTATGTATCTGTCATTTAAAGAACTTGTAATGCCAGCCCTCGAATTCACTGCTTTTTAGAAAATGCATCTCAAAATTGGCTCTCTTTTCTTAGGCTGAACCACTAGTTGTAGATCTGAAGGATCTCTTCCAAGTAATCTATAACATGAAGAAAAAAGAAGAGGACGATAAGAAGAAGGTAACGCTGCTTCATGGTAGACTTGACAGATTTTAGACAATATTGTAATTGGATACAAAGCTGGAAAATGCTTCAGTTGATTCCCAAATGTTTGCTACGTCTTGAACTTCCAATTTAATTATAGGGTTGTATAGTATCTTCAAAGGGGCCCTTTGCTTGGATAAAAGTCCAAACATGTTGCTTGCACATAAATACTGTGGTGCTTTGCTCTTAATTGGTAGCCAGAACGTGGTGCATCAATTGACAGCAGTGGCTTTTGTCAACAGTAGTGGCAAGGGAGGGAAGGAGCTATGACTCTCCCAGGGCTCTCATTGGCTGCAGAACCACAAAGCTGCATTTCATTGATTCAGCAGCCTGCCATTCAAACTTAGGAAAATGCTTTCCTTTTGCAAAGAGTGAATGTTTGTTGCACTGCTGCCAGTCTGGGTGGAGTGGGGGATTTGAGAGGCCTCTTTGATCGGAGCACTGATGAAATTCTTTTTTTTTTTTTACTACCGGTTTGGTGGGCGTGGCTTGGTGGGTGTGGCAGGGGAAGGATACTGCAAAATCCCCATTCCCTCCCCATTCCTGGAGAAAGTTATTCAAAATCCCCATTCCCTCCAGATCAGCTGGGACTCAGGAGGCAGAGAATAGATGGGGGCAGGGCCAGTCAGAGGTGGTATTTGCTGATTCTCCGAACTACTCAAAATTTCTGCTACTGGTTCTCCAGAACCTGTCAAAACCTGCTGAATTTCATCCCTGGATTGGAGTGCCCCAGAGTGCTCCACTGTCCATGTCCAATAGCAACCATAGCTTGCTGCTAGAAAGCACACACAGTACCCAGATACAGCCTTTAATTTTAAAATAGGCGATGATAATAGTGCTAATATTATATTGGATATTACGCTTATATCTAGACACTGTTTAAACAAACAATAACAACCACAAGATAATATAAAAACCAGTGCCCACAATACAGGTAGTCTTCGACATACGACCACAGTTGAGCCCAAAATGTGTACCAAGTGAGACATTTATTAAGTGAATTTGTCCCATTTTATGACCTTTCTTGCCACAATTGGTAAGTGAATCACTGTACTTGTTAATTTAGTAACACGCTTGTTAAGCGAATCCAGCTTTCCCCTTGACTTTGCTTGTCAGAAGATTGCAAAAGGGGAACATATGACCCTGGACACTGCAACAGTCATAAATGTGAGTCAATTTCCAAGCGTCCGAATTTTGATCACATGACCAGGGGGGGTGCTGCAATGATCATAACTTTGAAAAACAGTCATAAGTCACTTTTTTCAGTGCTGTTGTAATTTCAGTCACTAAATGAACTCTTGGAAGTCGAGGACTATCGTGTTTCCCCCAAAATAAGACAGGGTCTTTTTTTTTGACCCCCAAAATAAGTGCTTGGTCTTATTTTTTTTGAGATGCAGGAGGTGGCGAATGTGGTCACTTCATGTCTGCTGCTGTGTTGCAATATTTTGGGGGAAGGGCTTATTTTCAGGGGAGGGATTATTTTAGTGCATGCGTTCAAAAGCCCCATTGGGCTTATTATCCAGGGAGGTTTTATTTTCAGGGAAACAGGGTACCTGTATAATCAACTTAAGAAACCAGGATGTTGGCTGGGGAATTCTGGGTGTTGAAGTCCACATGTTCTAGAGTTGCCAAGTTTGAGAAACACTGAACAACTTTTCATGAATATTCCTGATGCAAGTTTTTATTCTTCTATTTCAGAATGAAGAGGCCAGTAAAACTGAGGTAAGAAAGATGTGTCTTATGAGGCAAGTTATATATCAGAGATCTTAGCAATAGATTTCTTAAACCTGACTTACTTTTGTTTTCTTCCAGAATGGTAATGATGAAGCAATTACTGATCAAGTTGGCAAAATAAAGTTGGTATGTAGAACTTTCTAACTTGAAGAGCAGGTTAATAGGCTTCTGAGTAGTGGTTAAACCAGAATGGGCCGCATTATTGCCACAAACTTTGAACTGATAAAGCTAGTTTGTCTCATAGCTTAATGCAACAGCAACTTGGGTTTTTTCCAACATTCCTGTGTCTGCTGTTGTTTGGACTTGAGTGATTTATAGATTGAAGTGTGGAATCCTAACTGTTACAAACTTTGTACTTCAGGGTGTCGACCAGATGGATCTATTTGGGGACATGTCTACTCCTCCTGACCTCAACAGTCCCACAGTGAGTAGTAAATGATTACCACCTCAAAAATCAGGAACATTTTGAAAGTCCTCTTCAATGTTCTCCTTTCATGCCTGGATGATGAAGGGATCCTCTATAGACAGTCCTCTGTTCAAAGGATCTTGATGGAACAAATTGCAGATTGTACTATTGATCTATGCCAGAGGCTGATTTATAGCTTTGTGTATAAGGATTGATCAGGATCTAAGGAAGAATGCCTAGCATAAGTTGAGTTTGCATGTAAAATACCTTTGGCTGGCTTGAGGAATAATGATAACTTAATGATAGTACAGAAACACATTGGCAGTCCAGAAAGTTATAATAAAGGAAAGAAAGAAGCTTGGAGGGAGAGATATGGAAACATTTAGCAGAGTTTATTTAAAGAAACTGCTTTGATGCACTTGGTTTGATAATTAGCTAGAATTTGGAAAGCTCTTGATCACACTGCTGTGAGCAAGTCGTCATGACATCCAACATTGCCTATTCAGAGCTGTTTTTGGTACAAGCCCTTCTAGCTTCCTCCTCCTACCACTGTTACATAATCAGGTATAGATAATCGTGATCTCCAGTGGGAATTTTTTCCCAACACATAAAGCCAATCCAGTTGATGAATGTGGAAATGCATTCAGCAACCTAAACTCATGGCTCCTTGTTGTAAACTGTGGCTTTTTGGTGGCTCAGTCTACTGTCTGTGTTTGAAAGAGTCATCGTTTCTTGTTAGAATGAATGAGAATTTAAAGTCTTGTCTAATTGTTATTTTGCTTGTAGCTCATGCTAACTATAAATGATGCCTACTCTGATGTTTAACCTATGCTTAAGTCATAGAAAGAAAAACATGTGGTTAAAGAATTACCAAAACGGTTGATATCAGGATTGTTTTTATTTATTATTTTAGTGAATTGTTGTGTGCTGTCCAAAGACACTTTTTTGTGAGATGGATGGCCCTATAAATGTGATCATTCAATAAATAAAACAGGAGATTACCGTATTTTTCAGAGTATAAGACACACCTTCTCCCCCACAAAAAAAAGAGAGTGAAAATTTGGGTACGTCTTATACACCAAATGTAGCCCCACCCGCCCTCACCAGAGGCCCAAAATGTGAAGCATGGAGGCAGCGATGGTCTGTGGCAGTCCCTGCAGCCTGGAACAGCTGATTGGGGGTATTGTGGCAGTCTGATTCCACCTGCCAATCAGCTGTGCTGAATCAGGCTGCAATAAGTGCTGAATCTGGCTTGGGTGGTCAGAGTTTGCAGCAGCAATCACATTCAGAAAGCACAGTAACTGATTCAGCAAGATTCAAAATAATAATAATATACAATACATTCCCAAAAGCAGGTTTTCCAAGGTAGCAGTAAATACAAGCAAAACGCAAGCAGTTTCACTTTCAGTTCTCGGCTAAGCCAGGCTCCTTCCTGTCTCCTTGTTGCTCACACAGCAAATACTGTTTCAGAGTCCAAATAGCTCCCATTGGCTGACTTAGTTGCTATGCCTATTCATTAGCTGACCTTGTTACCGTGTGTCAGCTGAATACCATGGATGCTGATAGGCAGAGGCAGAATTTTTTTTCTTATTTTCCTTCCCAAAAACTAAGGTGCATCTTATACTCCTGAGCGTCTTATACTCAGAAAAATATGGCAGGTGCTGGTCCATGTATGTTTCCCAACCAATGATTGGTTTGGTGTATTATTATCCATTTATAAATCCCAACTGAGGTTGAACAGCTGGCTCAATGACTTCACAGTAGGGTGATTGTTTTTTTAAAAAAAGAGCAGCAAAATGCCTTTCTGTCAAAGACGCACATTTTCTATATTAAAAAAAAAATCCATTTCAAATCTGCTTGCTTATCATTGTTTTTAATCAAGAGCTCATGAGACTACTTGCCCACGTGCTAATCTGTCTTCTTTCCCAAACCTAACAGGAGGAGGAAAAAGAGATCCTATTAGTGGATTTAAACTCTGAGATTGAGGCCCCTCCAACTTCTCTCACAGGGGAGGACCTTTTCTTGAACGACATCACGCCTTCCCTGCCATTGCCAAAGCTGCAGCCGCCTTTCTTGCCTGAAAACGCTTTCTCTGCAAACCTCAGCTTCTTTCCTACCCCCAGTCCTGACCCTTTCCGTGACGATCCTTTCAGGCCAGCTGATCAATTGTCACCCCCTTCCCTTGATTCTTCTTTAAAACCTTCCGGTCAGAAGATGGAGAACAGTGGTGTGAATGGGGACATAGACTACTTTGGGAAAGAGTTTGATCAGATTTCCAACCGGACTAGCAAGCAGGAAATGCCAGCCAGCCAATGGCTGCTTGAAAGTAAATCGGCACATTTAGCGGTGAAGACATCCGACGGGGTGCCGGAGAGAGAACAGAATGGTTTCGTGGCCAAATCCCCCTTGAGTGTCTTTGCAGAAAGCTCTCCCAAAGGAACACCTGTGCTGAATGGGTTACGGCTAGACTCTGATAGCAGCCACCTGTCAGTGCCACAAGACTCCATCACGATTAGCCCACCTCCACAAAGTACAAAGCCAGGAAGAGGAAGGAGGACTGTTCAGGTGAACGTTGGGGCATGCACAAAGTGGTAATATGCATGTTTTCTACTTGGAGTAGGTGAAGGAACTTCTTTCCCTCTTTTCCTGAAAGCTCTGCTGGCAAGAAAGCTTTCCTTACCTTCACTCTGTAAATGCTGCAGCCACTGTGAACTTAAAATTTTCTCTGTAGAATCATCCTTTCCTAACCTTGCTTTCTTTCTCCTAACGCTGCCATATATTTATATCTTGGGTAAGTAAGACGCTTGGAACTAGTTATTGCATGCATTAAGCATATTGTTTTGGAAGAAACAAAGTGTTTTCCTTGTACAGTTCAAGTAGCAGAATCTGGTATGGGATGATCAACCATGTTTAGTCGACCTCAAAGGTCTGGAAGTGAGGTCAAGGAGATACCTAAACAACCCTGGTTTTCTGATATAAACTGAACCTAGTGCAGGTTAACCCACCTGAAAGCCATACCTTGTCTTAATTAAGAACAATAGACGCCCAGCAGTCTAGTACTAATGAGAACCATCTCAACTATAGGCTTGGACTGAAAGATTTTTCAGGAATGTAGCATTTTTATTTTTTAAAGAAGGTATATTAAAACTAGCAGGTGATTAAAACTAGAAGTATGCATGAGAGTTGATTGAATACCATCAATTCAGGCTACTTTAGATTGATTACTTTTTTTTTGCAACTCTGCGAGGCAAAAGCAGCCCAGACACAGGTATATGAATTGGAGCAGGAGTAGTGAGATTCAAATAATTTAACAACTGGTTCTCTGCCCTAATGATTTCTTCCAACAACCAGTTAACCAAACTGCTCAGAAAGTTAACAACCGGTTCTCCCGAAGTGGTGCAAGCTGGCTGAATTCCACCACTGAACTGGAGGTACAAGGAATACAATCTTCAAAACCAAAACCGATTTATGTCATCCCTGATTTTTCTCCCCCCAATAAAAGAAGAGATAAGAGACAATAAAACCAACATTAAAATAAATGAAAACCTGCTTGCAGAGGAGATGCAGAATGACCTTCCCTGAATCTGGATATTTGCTTATACCCTCTGCATGTACCCATCTGAAATTAAGTACAATTGATCTTTGAAGAAGGAATAGTTGAACATGCAAACTTGTCCTATTCTTTCTTTATTTGGAAAGATAGGTTGGTTGGTTGATTGACTGATTGATTGACAGACTAAAGATAGCTTCCCCCCACCATTCTAATGATTATGCTTTGGATTTTGGACTTAGAGCCAGATCATTCAGGGTATACCCCCAGTTAAAGACCTATCTTAAAAATGTGTAAGTTTTAGCATTAACTACTGAGTGATTACAAGGCTTGTCCATTGTACTAGACCCATATCAGTTCAATAAAACAAAATCTTCCTGGAGCAAAACATTTTGTGTTATAATAAAATATTGCAACACTCAACCTACTGAAGTTCTGAGATACAAAATTCCACACTTTGTCTCCCAGGGAAAAAAGTCTTATTGGCCAAGTCTGTTACCATTAGGCTTCTGTTTGGATGTTAGATTTGGGCAGAAAAAACATGCCTTATTGTGCAACTGATGACTTGGCTTAAGTTGGCCAAAGGGGTTTATTTCCAGTAAAAGAAAATGTATGAGTATGTAAATCTGGTTTGAACTACGGACTTCTTGGTGCTCTCTCTTGGTTGTTTCTTGTAATTACCAACTAGGTAATGTCATCAGTTTGAGTAAATGTGAGGTTTATTATCTGTGTATAATAGTTTCCCGTGCCAATTTTAGTGAGAGATTAGTTTCCTTCTTAGTGGTTCTTTGATTAAAACATTGTTTTCTGCTTAATTGTTTGTCTGGTGTTGATCACTGCTTATCTGAGTGTTAGCTGCTGGAAGAAATGTCTTTGCATAAATGTCTTTGATAGGTTGTTTGTTTCCTTCTTGGATTTTTTTTTATTCTCTGTTTTGAACTGCATGCAGTTTATCTCCATTTGTCTACTGATGATTGATTTGTCTGAATGCCAAGGCTACAAGAATTCCCTAGCATTTTTCAGGTGGCCTTGATCCTAAAGCATGGGTATCCACCCTTTTGGCTTGCCTGGGTCACATTGAATGATGGGCCCACAAATAAAGTATATAATATAGTAAATGTATATAAAATCATATAATAATGTTAAAAGTTTGCAAACTTGTGGGGGCCGCATTATTAGCGGTTCGTGGCGGCCATGGATTGGACAGGCCTAATCAAAAGTGTAACAGTTTGCCAGTTGAGACTTTGGTTGAGACTGTCCATGTGTTCTGAAATTAAGGCATTTTCCATTGAGGTTTATTTATTTTTATTACACGTGGAAAGCATCTTTCCTATCTTTCCTATAAGAGCTGAGCACATGCTACCTGAGAGCTAGATTGGGCTTAGACCAACTTGGCCATGACTTTCTATGGTTGATTGGATCATAGTTTCACTCAGTTTCCCAAATCCTAGTCCCAATGCTTACTATCTTACACTGATTACCATATTTTTCAGAGTATAAGGCGCACCGGAGTATAAGGCGCACCTTAGTTTTTGGGGAGGAAAATAGGAAAACAAATCTGCCTACCAGGTATTCATCTGGCTAGAGTCCTTAGTCTGGTCAGCTTCAGCATATAGGTTTGCTGGTTTTGAGCACACGTGCTTTTTATCCCCTGATTGGGGATAAAAAACACCTTCTAAAGCTAAAGCACAGCTGATCGTTGGAGAGAGAAGCAATGAGAAAAGCAGGCAAAGCACAGAAGATTGCTTCACTCTTTAGCATCTCATTGGGGCTACAAAAAAGCTTGGAAGATGCACCCAAATTTTCAGCCTCTTTTAGGGGGGGAGTGCTTCCTATACTTCGAAAAATATGGTAATTATTGTTCTATTGCAAACTGGTTTGACTATACCTGCATTGGACATGCAATGGCATCAACGCTAGCATTTAACCAATTAAAGTTGTGTTCATTTCTTCAGGAATATATTTTAAAAATGCTTCTGAGTTTCTATACAAAAGTAATTGCTTCCCCAGGCATCACTCTTTGGAGGCTGTTTATTTAGTTTGTGTGTAGCCCAATGCTTCTGTGTTAGAGAGAGACTGCTTGTCAAAAAGACACAAAATTTGTTCTTTGCAATAAAATGCTCTTAGCGGTTGATGTTGCACCATCATTTACAGGAAGTTGCACATGAAAGCTCCGCAGGCCACCACTGTAAACATTGCAAAGTCTTTGTTGTTTTTCAGATGCTTAGAAAAGATTTTACCCAGTTAAAGGAGAATAAGGCTTGTATTAATGTTTTGCATCTCTATACCTGATGCTTTCTGAAGCATGCCACTCTGTTTAATATGAACTGAAATCATTTTGTCCGGGAGTTGATCGCTCACCTCTTACATTTCTAGCTTGGTTTTGCTGCTGGAATGTCACAATGCTGCTGAGCCGATTGGGGTGCTGGTAGCATAAAGCACGATTGAAGACCCTTAACTCCAAATAACAGCAGTCTTTCTATGCCAGAATAACCCGCAACCTTTCTAATGAAGGCTCCCTCTGGTGTTTGATTTTTTTCTAGAATGCAGCCAGCGACTTGTTTGGTCCTGATATTTTTGCTCCTGGATATTCTGTAACCCATACTCTGACTACAGCAGGACAGCCTTCCGGTGTGCCAACTAACCCACTAGACCTCTTCAAAACCAATCCTCCTACAGCAGCTCCCATACCTGGACTAGGTTGGTAAAGATTGTGAAACACAAACCTAACTACATATTGGCTGAGTATATTGAATTCATGCACGTCTTCTTACTTTATGGTCCAGGGTGTTATGCAAACCCATTAAAAAGGGGGTTTGCAAGGTAAGCAGTAGATTGGTTAATTGTGGTGAAATATGTCAAGGGACGTGGTGGCTCAGTGGCTAAGACGCTGAGCTTCTCAATCAGAAAGGTCGGCAGTTCAGCAGTTCAAATCCCTAGTGCTGCATAACGGGGTGAGCTCCTGTTACTTGTCCCAGTTCCTTCCAACCTAGCAGTTTGAAAGCACGTAAAAATGCAAGTAGAAAAATAGGGGACACCTTT